GGGAATAATGACCACTTAACCAAGCACTTGAGGGGGAATAATGACCACTTAACCAAGCACTTGAGGGGGAATAATGACCACTTAACCAAACACTTTAGGGGAATAATGACCACTTAACCCAACACTTTAGGGGGGAAAAATGACCATTAACCAAGCATTGGGGGGGAAAATGACCACTTAAACCCAACCTTGAGGGGGAAAAGACCACTTAACCCAAACACTTGAGGGGGTAAGCCCCTTAACCAAGCACTTGAGGGGGAATAATGACCACTTAACCAAACACTGAGGGGGAATAATGACCACTTAACCAAACACTGAGGGGGAATAATGACCACTTAACCAACACTTGAGGGGGGAAAAAGACCACAACCAAGGGAAATTGAGGGGGGAAAAAATGACCACTTAACCAACACTTGAGGGGAAAAAATGACCACTTAACCAAGCACTTGAGGGGAATAAAGACCACTTAACCCCAAGCACTTTAGGGGGAATAATACCCCCTTAACCCAAACACTTAGGGGAATAATGACCACTTTAAAAAAGCACTTTTAGGGGGGAAAAATGACCACTTAAAACCCAAACACTGAGGGGGGAAAAAGACCACTTAAAAACCCAAACACTTGAGGGGGAATAAAGACCACTTAACCAAGCATTGAGGGGGGAAAAATGACCCTTAACCAAACACTTGAGGGGAATAATACCACAACCAGGGACTTGAGGGGGAAAATACCATTAAACCCAAAAACTGAGGGGGAATAATGACCACTTAACCAAGCACTGAGGGGAATAATGACCATTAACCCAAAAACGAAGGGGGAATAATGCCACTTAACCAAACCCGAGGGGGAATATACCACTTTAAACCCAAACACTTGAGGGGGGTAATGAAAACCATTAACCAAGCACTTTAGGGGGAAAAAGACCACTTAACCAAGCACTTGAGGGGGAATAATGACCCACTTTAAAACCAAGCACCAAGTGGGGGAAAATAAAAAAATTAACCAAACACTGAGGGGGGGGGGATTATTTTTTTGGTTTTTATCAATCTGAGGGTTCACTCGGGGCGGTTTACGGAAAATTTTCAAAAAGATTACAATAATCTCTGAGGTAATTTTTCTATATACCTTCTCAAATTATACTGAAACTGCTGCTAAATTTCCGATCTTAAGGTTATCCCGGGGGGGGTATACAAGGGTTAATATGTTTTAAAAATTTTTCGTTTGCTTTTAAAGGTACACGTCTTTACTGCGCTCATTTACCCTTTCCTTTTTTAACCTCATGGGATCACGCGTCGAACCTATACCTGGCTGTGACTCATTTTAAAAAAAAAAAAGTCATAAAAAGCTTTTTGAATTCTATTTTTTTTCGCTTTCATGCAAAAATAATCGTTAAAAAAGTAAAATGCACAAATGTATAACGAGAATTTTTCAATATGGTTTTATAACTACACCATGTTTCGTTATAGCATTTTCTAAATTCGGCCACAAGTGGAGACTGTCGGCCCGATTAAACAAAAACGACGTAAGGCGCCTCACAGACGTTTTTCTACGTCCTTAGTTTTGACGGTTTTTGGAATTTTTTCGAATTTTGAGAATGATGTATAAGATTGTGGGGAAGGAGATACGAATGACGTTGGATGATAATCGATGGAAGGAGGAAGAGGGGAAGGGGAAAAGAAGTCCAAATAGAGCAAGGACGAGCAAAGCAGAATTTCAGGTTTTATTTACACAAAAAGAAACAAAGAGTGGAAAATAAAACATAATAAACGTGAAGAGGCAAAGGTAAAGGAAGAAACAGCACATAAGACTAAGAGGGGGAAAAAATACCCTATATGTGTAAAGGACAGAAGATAGAATGAGAGAACAATACAGAAAAGTGGACGAGAAAGGAAAATCGAATAAATGAATAAAGAGAGCAAGAGCGAGGAGGAACAAGGGTAGTGACCGATAAAGTGGGAGAGATGGAGGAATATTTCACACAGAATTACCCCAATCTGAGAGTCTGCATATACTGGAGTAGAAGTTAACATTACAGGAGAGTCCAGCTTATACAGCAAGTTAGGTTCTGGGCTACTTTAAGGCCCCGCTTATAGAGCAGGTTAGGTTCTGGGCTACTGTAGGACCCCGCTTATACAGCAGGTTAGGTTCCAGGCTACTGTAGGGCCCCACTTACACAGCAGGTTTGGTTCGGGCTACTGTAGGGCCCCGCTTATACAGCAGGTTAGGCTCCAGGCTACTGTAGGGCCCCACTTATACAGCAGGTTAGGTTCTGGGCTACTGTAGGACCCCGCTTATACAGCGGGTTAGGTTCCAGGCTACTGTAGGGCCCCACTTACACAGCAGGTTTGGTTCCGGGCTACTGTAGGGCCCCGCTTATAGAGCAGGTTAGGCTCCGGGCTACTGTAGGGCCCCACTTATACAGCAGGTTAGGTTCTGGGCTACTGTAGGGCCCCACTTATACAGCAGGTTAGGTTCCAGGCTACTGTAGGACCCTGCTTATACAGCAGGTTAGGTTCCGGGCTACTGTAGGGCCCCACTTACACAGCAGGTTTGGTTCCGGGCTACTGTAGGCCCCGCTTATACAGCAGGTTTGGTTCTGGACGACTGTTGTAAAATGAAACATAAACTTTTTTCACTTTCAAATGCATATAAAGGCCCCATAACATGTTTACACTATCATACAGTTAGGTCTATATAATGTATATACAGTACACACATAACTTACCTTAAAATATTTTCGTCCTTAGCTTATAGTCAGTGGTGAATATATTTATTGTAGGAAGTCTGAATAAATGAAGACTGGGTGTAACTGAAAACTGCTGCATTAGCGAAACACTGAAGTGAACCGCTGTAAAGCGAGACCCTCCAGTATTTCAATAATTCCAGGCAGCGGAGGCTATTACTACTGCTGCTGTTACTGTATAGTCTTGTGCTAGCTTCTTTGTATAATATTAATATCTGCTTTACTACTACTACTACTACTACTGCTACTGCTGCTGCTGCTGCTGCTGTTGCTGCTGCTGTTGTTGTTGCTGCTGCTGCTGCTGCTGCGGCTGTAGTAGTAGTAAATAAGCCTAGTAGAACTGAATGAATAGCTCTATCAGCGTTGATTCAATAAGCCTATTGTCGCTGGTTTAAAAGGCCTATAAATGCTGACTAAATAGGCCTATTAACGATTGTCCAATAGGCTATTAGAGCTGCTTTAATAGGCCTATCAGTGCTGGTTCAATACGCCTATCAGCGATGGTTCAATAGACCTATTAGCACTGGATCAATATGCCTATTAGCGCTGGTTCAATAGACCCATTAGCGCTGGTTCAATAGGCCTATCAGCGCTGGCTGAGAACACAAAAACTTGGATTGAACCTCAGAATTCACAATCTCTCAGAACCTTTATCTGCCAAGATTAAACCTGGAGAAATTTCAATAAGTTTTCCCTAACTCAGCCCCCCCTCCCCAAAAAAAAGGTTGAGACGGGAAGTGGGGGGATAGAGGGGGGAGAGGAGGGTGAGAGGGGGGAGAGGGGGGCTTGAAGGGGACATGGTGAGGGGGGACTTAGCTCCCTGGACACAAATATTTTCATTTCTGATTTACTTTATGGAAGATGATGTTTAATTAGCCAGCACATTACACTGACCCATCACAGCCTGGTTGATCTGGCACCTGGTGAAGATACTTGTCCAATTTTCTCGTTTCTCCCCCATCAAGTGGCCAAATTTCTCCCCCGTCAAATGGCCAAGTTTTCTCCCCCATCAAGTGGCCAAATTTCTCCCCCGTCAAGTGGCCAAGTTTTCTCCCCCGTCAAGTGGCCAAGTTTTCTCCCCCGTCAAGTGGCCAAGTTTCCTCCCTAAGAGCCGGCTAGCTTAGCCTCCCAGTGCAACTTTCTTCCCCAACACACTATTGTTATTTCCCTGGATTCGCCAAGGATTTTTTCTTTCTCTCTCTCTTCTTTCTTGTCTCCTCGTCCTCCCAGGGCTGAGCTAGCTCTATCGGGTGGGTGATGGGCGGTAAAGCGTGTTTGACCCACTGGTAACACACTCCGCATTCACAAGTGGTCGACTTTTACATACACAGCAAGTTGACTTCCCAGATTTTGTAAGGTGGTGAGGTGAGAGAGAGACAAAAAGAGAGAGAGAATTGGAGGTACAGGTACATACATAAGACAGAGAGAGAGAGGTGACTCAGGTTCATACCTAAGACAGAGAGAAAGAGAGAGATAATGGAAGATACAGGTACATACTTAAGACAGAGAGATAATGGGAGGTATAGGTACATACCTAAGACACAGAGAGAGAGAGAGAGAGAGAGAGAGAGAGAGAGATTGGAAGATACAGGTATATACCTAAGACACAGAGAGAGCGATGACACAGGTACATACCTGAGACAGAGAGAGAGAGAGAGATGACACAGGTACATACCTGAGACAGAGAGAGAGAGAGAGAGAGAGATGACACAGGTACATACCTAAGACAGAGAGAGGAAGAGAGAGATAATGGAAGATACAGGTACATACTTAAGACAGAGAGATAATGGGAGGTATAGGTACATACCTAAGACACAGAGAGAGCGATGACACAGGTACATACCTGAGACAGAGAGAGAGAGAGAGATGACACAGGTACATACCTGAGACAGAGAGAGAGAGAGAGAGAATGACACAGGTACATACTGAGACAGAGAGAGAGAGAGAGATGACACAGGTACATACCTGAGACAGAGAGAGAGAGAGAGATGACACAGGTACATACCTGAGACAGAGAGAGAGAGAGAGAGATGACACAGGTACATACCTGAGACAGAGAGAGAGAGAGAGAGATGACACAGGTACATACCTGAGACAGAGAGAGAGAGAGAGATGACACAGGTACATACCTGAGACAGAGAGAAAGATAATGGAAGATACAGTTACATACCTAAGACAGACAGAGAGAGAGAGAGAGAATGGAAGATAGATGTATATAGGTAAGAGACATAGAGATAATGGAAGATAAAGTTACATACCTGACTATTATACTGGCCCTGCATCTCAGGTCTCTCAGGGCGGAGTGCAACAGCCGTTGCTGTTGCAGTTGCTGTTGCAGCAGCCACCATAGCTGCCGTGTTAAGGGCGTCTCCAGCACCATTGCCGCCCATGGTGGTGGGTCCGCCCATACCAGCAGGGCCGCCCATGGCAGTATTTCCGGACATGGTGGGTCCGGGACTGTTGTTGTAGCCACTGTAGTGAAGGAAGCAACACTTGAGTTGCCACAAATAATAACCGCACTGTTGCATGCAACACTAAAATTATTTGTGCCAAACATAAACAAAACAAAATAACTACCAAGTATACATGGAAATTTATGGAAATTTATGGAAATTTATGGAAATGCATGGAAATTTATGGAAATGCATGGAAATGCATGGAAATTTATGGAAATGCATGGAAATGCATGGAAATTTATGGAAATGCATGGAAATGCATGGAAATTTATGGAAATGCATGGAAATGCATGGAAATATCATGGAAATTCATGGAAATATCATGGAAATTTATGGAAATTCATGGAAATTCATGAAAAAATCATGGAAATTCATGGAAATACACGGAAATTCATGGAAATTCATGAAAAATTCATGGAAATTCATGGAAATACACGTAAATTCATGGAAATTCATGAAAAATTCATGGAAATTCATGGAAATACACGGAAATTCATGGAAATTCATGGAAATTCATGACAAATTCATGGAAATACACGGAAATTCATGGAAATTCATGGAAATACACGGAAATTCATGGAAATTCATGGAAATTCATGACAAATTCATGGAAATACACGGAAATTAATGGAAATTCATGGAAATACACGGAAATTAATGGAAATTCATGAAAAATTCATGGAAATTCGTGGAAATTCATGGAAATACACGGAAATTCATGGAAATTCATGGAAATTCCTATAAATTCGTGGGCGGTGAAGATGCATCCATCAGGAGAGTGATATTCGTGGTGTTAGATTATGTACAGTGATTATTATGTACAGTAATTATTATGTACAGTAATTATTATGTACAGTAATTATTATGTACAGTAATTATTATGTACAGTAATTATTATGTACAGTAATTATTATGTACAGTAATTATTATGTACAGTAATTATTATGTACAGTAATTATTATGTACAGTAATTATTATGTATAATGGAAGTGTCTCACAAGTAATAATTTGATGATATAATTTAAAAATTGTTATATGAAATTATAATAATAATAAATAATAATAATAATAATAATAATAATAATAATTATTTAGACACACTAAACATAGTTCCGTTTAACCCAAAAATTGTTTCATAGAGGACAGAAAATAATCAAAAGAGAGAGACGGGGGGGGGGGAGTGAGGGTAGGGGGGAAATAGGGGAGTGAGGGTAGGAGGGAAATAGGGGAGTGAGGGTAGGGGGGAAATAGGGAAGTGAGGGTAGGGGGGAAATAGGGGAGTGAGGGTAGGAGAGAAATAGGGAGCGAGGGTAGGGGGGAAATAGGGAGTAGGGTAGGAGGGAAATAGGGGAGTGAGGGTAGGGGGAAAATAGGGGAGTGAGGGTAGGGGGGGAAATAGGGGAGTGAGGGTAGGAGGGAAAATAGGGGAGCGAGGGTAGGGGGGAAATAGGGGAGTGAGGGTAGGAGGAAATAGGGGAGCGAGGGTAGGGGGGAAATAGGGGAGTGAGGGTAGGAGGGAAATAGGGGAGCGAGGGTAGGGGGAAAATAGGGAGTGAGGGTAGGAGGGAAATGGGGGAGCGAGGGTAGGGGGGAAATAGGGGAGTGAGGGTAGGGGGGGAATAGGGGAATGAGGGTAGGGGGGAAATAGGGAAGTGAGGGTAGGGGGGAAATAGGGGAGCGAGGGTAGGGGGAAATAGGGGAGTGAGGGTAGGAGGGAAATAGGGGAGTGAGGGTAGGGGGGAAATAGGGAAGTGAGGGTAGGGGGGAAATAGGGGAGTGAGGGTAGGAGAGAAATAGGGGAGCGAGGGTAGGGGGGAAATAGGGGAGTGAGGGTAGGAGGGAAATAGGGGAGTGAGGGTAGGGGGAAAATAGGGGAGTGAGGGTAGAGGGGGAAATAGGGGAGTGAGGGTAGGAGGGAAATAGGGGAGCGAGGGTAGGGGGGAAATAGGGGAGTGAGGGTAGGGGGGAAATAGGGGAGCGAGGGTAGGGGGGAAATAGGGGAGTGAGGGTAGGAGGGAAATAGGGGAGCGAGGGTAGGGGGAAAATAGGGAGTGAGGGTAGGAGGGAAATGGGGGGAGCGAGGGTAGGGGGGAAATAGGGGAGTGAGGGTAGGGGGGGAATAGGGGAATGAGGGTAGGGGGAAATAGGGAAGTGAGGGTAGGGGGAAATAGGGGAGCGAGGGTAGGGGGGAAATAGGAAAGTGAGGGTAGGGGGGAAATAGGGGAGCGAGGGTAGGGGGAAATAGGGGAGTGAGGTAGGGGAAATAGGGGAGTGAGGGTAGGGAGGAAATAGGGGAGTGAGGGTAGGGGGGAAATAAAGGAGCGAGGTAGGGGGAAATAGGAGAGTGAGGGTAGGGGGAAATAGGGGAGTGAGGGTAGGGGAAATAGGGAAGTGAGGGTAGGGGGAAATAGGGGAGCGAGGGTAGGGGGAAATAGGGAAGTGAGGGTAGGGGGGAAATAGGGGAGTGAGGGTAGGGGGAAATAGGGGAGTGAGGGTAGGAGGAAATAGGGGACTGACGGTAGGGGGGAAATAGGGGAGTGAGGGTAGGGGGAAATAGGGGAGTGAGGGTAGGGGGGAAATAGGGGAGTGAGGGTAGGGGGGAAAAAGGGGAGCGAGGATAGGGGGGAAATAGGGGAGTGAGGGTAGGGGAGAAATAGAGAAGTGAGGGTAGGGTGGAAATAGGGGAGCGAGGGTAGGGGGGAAATAGGGCAGTGAGGGTAGGGGGGAAATAGGGGAGCGAGGGTAGGGGGAAATAGGAGAGGGAGGGTAGAGGGGAAATAGGTGAGCGAGGGTAGGGGGAAAGAGGGGATCGAGGGTAGGGGGGAAAGAGGTGAGCGAGGGTAGGGGGGGAGAAAGAGGTGAGCGAGGGTAGGGGGGAAATAGGGGAACGAGGGTAGGGGGAAAAGAGGTGAGCGAGGGTAGGGGGGGAAAGAGGTGAGCGAGGGTAGGGGGGAAATAGGGGAGTGAGGGTATTGGGGAAAGAGGTGAGCGAGGGTAGGGGGGAAAGAGGGGAACGAGGGTAGGGGGAAAAGAGGTGAGCGAGGGTAGGGGGGGAAAGAGGTGAGCGAGGGTAGGGGGGAAATAGGGGAGTGAGGGTATTGGGGGGGAAAGAGGTGAGCGAGGGTAGGGGGGAAATAGGGGAGCGAGGGTTGGGGGGAAAGAGGTGAGCGAGGGTAGGGGGGAAAGAGGTGAGCGAGGGTAGGGGGGAAATAGGGGAGCGAGGGTTGGGGGTAAAGAGGTGAGCGAGGGTAGGGGGGAAATAGGTGAGCGAGGGTAGGGGGGAAAGAGGTGAGCGAGGGTAGGGGGGAAAGAGGTGAGCGAGGGTAGGGGGAAATAGGTGAGCGAGGGTAGGGGGAAAGAGGTGAGCGAGGGTAGGGGGAAAGAGGTGAGCGAGGGTAGGGGGGAAAGAGGTGAGCGAGGGTACGGGGGAAAGAGGTGAGCGAGGGTAGGGGGGAAAGAGGTGAGAGAGGGTAGGGGGGAAAAGAGGTGAGCGAGGGTAGGGGGGAAAGAGGTGAGCGAGGGTAGGGGGGAAATAGGGAGCGAGGGTTGGGGGAAAGAGGTGAGCGAGGGTAGGGGGGAAATAGGTGAGCGAGGGTAGGGGGAAATAGGTGAGCGAGGGTAGGGGGGAAATAGGGGAGCGAGGGTTGGGGGGAAAATGGAGCGAGGGTTGGGGGGAAATAGGTGAGCGAGGGTAGGGGGAAATAGGTGAGCGAGGGTAGGGGGAAATAGGTGAGCGAGGGTAGGGGGGAAAGAGGTGAGCGAGGGTAGGGGGAAAGAGGTGAGCGAGGGTAGGGGGAAAGAGGTGAGCGAGGGTAGGGGGGGAAATAGGGGAGCGAGGGTTGGGGGGAAAGAGGTGAGCGAGGGTAGGGGGGAAATAGGTGGAGCGAGGGTAGGGGGAAATAGGTGAGCGAGGGTAGGGGGAAATAGGTGAGCGAGGGTAGGGGGAAATAGGTGAGCGAGGGTAGGGGGGAAATAGGTGAGCGAGGGTTAGGGGGAAATAGGTGAGGGGAGGGTAGGGGGGAAATAGGGGAGCGAGGGTTGGGGGGAAAATGGAGCGAGGGTTGGGGGGAAATAGGTGAGCGAGGGTAGGGGGAAATAGGTGAGCGAGGGTAGGGGGAAATAGGTGAGCGAGGGTAGGGGGTGAAAGAGAAGGAGTAACCAATATTGAAGAGGAAGGTGAAGGTCGTACCCGTTAGGACTGCAGTGATCTTCGAAGGGTTTCTGGTCGGTCTTACAGGTGTTAGAGTCAGCCTGGGCGCCCCACCAGCTTCCCAACACACCGAGAACACACACACACACAACAGTTAGAATGATATATTGCAGTAGGGAGGGCAGCCGGGTAATATTAGTAGTGACAGTGTGTGTGTGTGTGTGTGTATCAACCATGACCCGTGTTACTTGCAGATACATACTGATGGTGGAAGTTAAATACAGCGTAACTTAAGATTTTTCTGACGGATAAACCATAGTTATTTATATCAGTATGGGAGGTGGTGATCAACATGGGAGGTGGTGATTAACATGGGAGGTGGTGATTAACATGGGAGGTGATCAACTTGGGAGGTGATTAACATGGGAGGTGGTCAACATGGGAGGTGATCAACATGGGAGGTGATCAACATGGGAGGTGGTGATTAACATGGGAGGTGATCAACATGGGAGGTGATCAACATGGGAGGTGATCAACATGGGAGGTGATCAACATGGGAGGTGATCAACATGGGAGGTGATCAACTTGGGAGGTGATTAACATGGCAGGTGATCAACATGGGAGGTGATCAACATGGGAGGTGATCAACATGGGAGGTGATCAACATGGGAGGTGATCAACATGGGATTTGATCAACATGGGAGGTGATCAACATGGGAGGTGATCAACATGGGAGGTGATCAACATGGGAGGTGATTAACATGGGAGGTGATCAACATGGGAGGTGATCAACATGGGAGGTGGTGATTAACATGGGAGGTGATCAACATGGGAGGTGATTAACATGGGAGGTGATTAACATGGGAGGTGATTAACATGGTAGGTGATCAAAATGGGAGGTGATCAACATGGGAGGTGATCAACATGGGAGGTGATTAACATGGGAGGTGATCAACATGGGAGGTGGTGATTAACATGGGAGGTGATCAACATGGAAGGTGATTAACATGGGAGGTGATCAACATGGGAGGTGGTGATTAACATGGGAGGTGGTGATTAACATGGGAGGTGATTAACATGGGAGGTGATCAACATGGGAGGTGATCAACATGGGAGGTGATTAACATGGGAGGTGATCAACATGGGAGGTGATTAACAAGGAGGTGATCAACATGGGAGGTGATTAACATAGTAGGTGATCAACATGGGAGGTGATCAACATGGGAGGTGGTGATCAACATGGGAGGTGATCAATATGGGAGGTGATTAACATGGGAGGTGATCAACATGGGAGGTGGTGATTAACATGGGAGGTGATCAACATGGGAGGTGGTGATTAACATGGGAGGTGATCAACATGGGAGGTGATCAACATGGGTGGTGATCAACATGGGTGGTGATCAACATGGGAGGTGATCAACATGGAAGGTGATCAACATGGGAGGTGATCATGGGTGGTAATCAACATGGGTGATCAACATGGGTGATCAACATGGGAGGTGATCAACATGGGAGGTGATCAACATGGGAGGTGATCAACATGGGAGGTGATCAACATGAGAGGTGATCAACATGGGTGGTGATCAACATGAGAGGTGATCAACATGGGTGGTGATCAACATGGGTGGTGATCAACATGGGAGGTGATCAACATGGGAGGTGATTAACATGAGAGGTGATCAACATGGGAGATGATCAACATGGGAGGTGATCAACATGGGAGGTGATCAACATGGGAGGTGATCAACATGGGAGGTGATCAACATGAGAGGTGATCAACATGGGTGGTGATCAACATGGGAGGTGATCAACATGGGTGGTGATCAACATGGGTGGTGATCAACATGGGAGGTGATCAACATGGGAGGTGATTAACATGAGAGGTGATCAACATGGGAGGTGATCAACATTGGAGGTGATCAACATGGGAGGTGATCAACATGGGTGGTCATCAACATGGGAGGTGATCAACATGGGTGGTGATCAACATGGGTGGTGATCAACATGGGAGGTGATCAACATGGGAGGTGATCAACATGGGAGGTGATCAACATGGGTGATCAACATGGGTGGTGATCAACATGGGAGGTGATCAACATGGGTGGTGATCAATATGGGAGGTGATCAACATGGGAGGTGATCAACATGGGAGGTGATCAACATGGGAGGTGATCAACATGGGAGGTGATCAACATGGAAATTGATCAACATGGGAGGTGTTCAACATGGGAGGTGATCAACATGGGAGGTGATCAACATGGGAGGTGATCAAAATGAGAGGTGATCAACATGGGAGGTGATCAACATGGGAGGTGATCAACATGGGAGGTGATCAACATGGAAGGTGATCAACATGGGAGGTGATCAACATTGGAGGTGGTGATTAACAAGGGAGGTGATCAACATGGAGGTATTAAATGGAGGGGATCAACATGGGAGGTGGATTAACATTGGGGGATCAACTGGAGGTGGTGATCAACATGGGAGTGATCAACAAAGGGAGGTGGGGTCAACATGGGGTGGTGATTAACATGGGAGGTGATCAACATGGGAGGTGATCAACATGGGAGGTGATCAACATGGGAGGTGATTAACATGGGAGGTGATCAACATGGGAGGTGATCAATATGGAGTGATCAACATGGGAGGTGATCAACATGGAGGTGATTCAACATGGAAGGTGATCAACATGGGTGGTGATCAACAATGGAGGTGATCAACATGGGAGGGTGATCAACATGGGAGGTACAACAGGGTGATTAACATGGGAGGTGATCAACATGGGAGGTGATCAACATGAGAGTGATCAACATGGGAGGTGATCAACATGGAGTGATCAATATGGGAAAGGGGATCAACATGGGAGGTGACAACATGGGAGGTGATTAACATGGGAGGTGATAAACATGGGAGTGATTAACATGGGAGGTGATCAACATGGGAGGTGATCAACATGTGAGGTGATCAACATGGGAGGTGGTGATCAACATGGGAGGTGATCAACATGGGAGGTGATCAACATGGGAGGTGATCAACATGGGCGGTGGTGATCAACATAGGTAGGTGATCAACATGGCACGTGATCAACATGGAGGTGATTCAACATGGGGGTGATCAACCCTGGGAGGTGATCAACATGGAGGTGATCAACATGGGGGGGGTGATCAACATGGGAGGTGATCAACATGGGAGGTGATCAAAATGGAGGTGATTAACATGGGAGGTGATCAACATGGGAGGTTGATAACAGGGAGGTGATCAAAATGGGAGTGATCAACATGGGAGGTGATCAACATGGGAAGGTGATTCAACATGGGAGGTGATCAACATGGAGGTGATCAACATGGGAGGTATCAACATGGGGGGTGATCAACCTGGAGGGGATCAACATGGGAGGTGAAACAACATGGGAGGTGATCAACATGGGAGGTGATCAACAATGGAGGTGATAACATGGGAGGTGGATCAACATGGGAGGTGATTAACATGGGAGGTGATCAACATGGGTTATCAACATGGTGGGTCATTAAAATGGGAGGTGATCAACATGGAGGGTGATTAACATGGGAGGTGATCAACATGGGGGGTGATTAACATGGGAGGTGATCAACATGGGGTGATCACATGGGGGGTGATTAACATGGGGGTGATCAACATGGAGGTGGTGATTAACATGGAGGTGATAACATGGGAGGTGATCAACATGGGTGATGATAACATGGGGTATCAACATGAGGTGATCAACATGGGGTGGTGATTAACAATGGAAAGGGGATCAACATGGGTGTGATCAACATGGGTGGTGATCAACATGGGAGGTGATCAACATGGAGGTGATCACATGGGAGGTGATCAACATGGGAGGTGATCAACATGGGAGGTGATCAACATGGGATGGTGATCGGAAACATGGGAGGTGATCAACATGGGAGGTGATCAACATGGGAGGTGATCAACATGAGAGGTGATCAACATGGGGTGATCACCCTGGGAGGTGATCAACATGGAGAGGTGAAACAACATGGGAGGTGATCAACATGGAGGTGATCAACATGGGAGGTGATCAACATGGATGGTGATCAACATGGGTGGTGATCAAAATGGGAGGTGATCAACATGGGAGGTGATCAACATGGGAGGTGATCAACATGGGAGGTGATCAACATGAGAGGTGATCAACATGGGAGGTGATCAACATAGGAGGTGATCAACATGGGAGGTGATTACGTAGGGTGATCAACATGGGGTGATCAAAAGGGTGGTGATCAACATGGGTGGTGATCAACATGGGAGGTGATCAACATGGGAGGTGATCAACTTGGGAGGTGATTAACATGGGAGGTGATCAACATGGGAGGTGATCAACATGGGAGGTGATCAACATGGGAGGTGATCAACATGGGAGGTGATTTAACATGGAGGTGATCAACATGGGAGGTGATCAACATAGGGGGGTGATCAACATGGGAGGTGATTAACATGGGAAGGTTGATCAACATGGGAGGTGATCAACATGGAGGTATCAACATGGGAGGTGATCAAACATGGGAGGTGATCAACATGAGGAGGTGATCAACATGGGAGGTGATCAACATGGGAGGTGTATAACATGGGAGGTGATTAACATGGGAAGGTGATCAACTTTTAAAGGAGTGATCAACATGGGAGGTGGTGGGGTTATTAACATGGGGGGTGATCAACATGGGATGGGGATTAACATGGGAGGTGATCAACATGGAGGTGATCAACATGGGAGGTGATCAACATGGGAGGTGGTGATTAACATGGGAGGTGATCAACATGGGAGGTGATCAACATGGGAGGTGATCAACATGGGAGGTGATTAACATGGGAGGTGATCAACATGGGAGGTGGTGATTAACATGGGAGGTGATCAACATGGGTGGTGATCAACATGGGAGGTGATCAACATGGGTGGTGATCAACATGGGTGATCAACATGGGAGGTGATCAACATGGAAGGTGATCAACATGGGAGGTGATCAACATGGGAGGTGATCAACATGGGTTGATCAACATGGGAGGTGATCAACATGGGAGGTGATCAACATGGGAGGTGATCAACATGGGAGGTGATCAACATGGGAGGTGATCAACATGGGAGGTGATCAACATGGGTGGTGATCAACATGGGAGGTGATCAACATGGGAGGTGATCAACATGGGAGGTGATCAACATGGGAGGTGATCAACATGGGAGGTGATCAACATGGGAGGTGATCAACATGGGAGGTGATCAACATGGGGGGTGATTTTCAACATGGCATGATCATTCCCGGGAGGTTTAATATACATGAGTATCAAAATGAATTATATTATACATGGATATCATACATAGGTGATTTAACATGGAAGGTAGTATATTAAATGGAATATAACATGGGCACATGTGTCAATAATATTATAGATTAACATGATGTTTCAACATGTCTCTTAAGGTGTTATATAATTCCCTAGGGTGTTTCAAAATGAGGACCTGATCAAAGCATGTAGTTGATAACATGGCAGGTTTGACAACATGGGTAACGACAACCCAAAGGGAAACTGTGATGGAGGATTAACTAGTACAATGTTCAACAGGACGGTCATCAACATTCAGAAGGTGTCCAACATGGTGAGAACCGGCATACAAACAGTGATTCAACAAGGAGGTAATTATAACTGGCAGTTAAACAGTAAGGTAGGGAAGGTTGGTGTGGGCCAACAAAGGTCCAGGTGATCAAACATGGGGTTCAAAATGGTAGGGATACACATGGTTGTTTGACAACATGTATCTAACTGGGCAGTGTGATAGCCATGGGAGGGTAAATACATTTACACAGGTTTGATTAATGGAGGTGATCAAATGGGAGTGACAACTGACAGCGTCAACATGGGAGGGTTTGATCAACCTTTAGAGTATAAATGGGATCCTAGGATGATAGAATGGAAGTGTTAGTGAAACATGGGGTTGATCCATGGGAGTGATTAACATGCGAGGTATCAACATGGGGTATCACATGTGAAGGTGATCAACAGTGGGTTGAGTTGAGTCATACATGAGGTACAACATGGAGGTATCAACATGAAACTGATCAACATGGGAAGTGATCAACATGAGGTGATCAACATGGCAGTGATCAACAGGAGTGATCAACATGGGATTGATAACCTGGGAGTGAATAACATGGGAGTGTTCAACCATTGGTGATGGTCTAATCAATGGAGGTGATCAAAATGGAGGTGATCAAATGGAGTGTGATTAACATGGGAGTATCAACAGGGGGTGATTAACATGGGAAATGATAAAAAGGGAGGTGAAACAGGAGGGATCAAATGGGGGGTGATCAAAATGGGAGGGTGATCAACATGGAGGATAACAGGGAGGGATCAACAGGGGGGGGGATTAAATGGGAGGTATCAACAGGGAGGTGATAAAATGGGGGGGTGATTAACATGGGAGGTGATAACATGGAAAGGGATTTAAAATGGGAGGGGATCCATGGGAGGGGATCAACGTGGGAGGTTTACAAAATGGGGATTTATAACATGGGGGGGTATCAACCCGGGGTTTTATTAAAAGGGGGGGGGACAACGGGGGGTGATTAACATTGGTGATCAAAATGGAAGTGATTAACAGGAGGTGGATTAACGGGGGGTGATCAACAGGGGGGATCAACAGGGGGTGATAAATGGGAGGTATAACAGGGGTGGGATTAACATGGGAGGGATTAACATGGGAGGTATCAACATGGGAGGTGATATTAACCCCCGGGAAAGGGGACAACAGGGGGGATCAACATGGAGGGGTGATTAAAATGGGGTGCAACATTGGGTTAAAGGGGTGACAACATGGAGGTATCACAGGAAGTACAACAGGGAGGGGATAACCGGGAGGTGATCAACATGGAGGTGATCAACGGGATGGGGATTAACAAGGGAAAAAAACAATATAAATAATATAAATATATAATTAATATAACAAGGGGGGGTTTATATATAAATAATATAAATTTATAAATAGGGGGGCAACATAGTGAATAAAATGAAGGGTCACAGGGGGGTTTAAAAGGAAAGGGGGGTCAAATAAAACTAGGTGATCAAATGGAGTTCAACATAGATATCCATGGTTGACCCAAAAAAGGAGGGGCAAATGGGAGGGATAAAGTAAAAGGGACAACAGGGTGGGGGGTTTAAAAGGGGGGTGGTCAACAGGAGGGGGCAACATAGTATAAAATTAGGGGTCAACCCGGGGGGGTTATTTAAAAATGAGGGGATAACATGGAGGTGTTTTCCCGGGAAAAGGTCAACTGGGGTTCAAAATGGGGGGTAAACAAGGAGGAAAACGGGGGTGTCAAAAAAGATAAAAAGGGGGGGGGAGGTTAACATGGAGGTAAAAAACATGGGGGTATCAAATGGAGGGGTAAAATGGGGGGGTTCAACAGGGGTGTAAAAGGGGGGAAAACAACATAGGGAAAAAAAGGTGTTAAGGGGGGGGGATTAACAAAGGGGCCATGGGTAAGTATAAAATGGGAGGGGTCCATAGTGTACAACAGGGAGGTGTTAACAGGGGTTTTCCTGGGGGGGGGGTTTTAACTTTGGGAGGTTTTCAACAGGAATGAAAAAAAGGGAAGGGGATAACATGGATTGATTCTGGAATGTTTAACAAGGGAGGGATTACATGGGAGTACAACATAGGTGATTTTAACATTATCCTTTTTCCCCTTTCCTTTTTTCCTTATGTTTCACAGGTTTTAAAACAACAGGGTGATAAATAGTGACAAGGAAGGGGAAATGGGATAACGAGAAAGTTTCAATATAATTCTCTTCCAAGGGTGTTTCAAAAAGATGGACCTGATTTCAAAGCAGTACTTGTTTAATATTGGCTCCATGTGTTTGACACACCCTGTACACGAAGCAACCAATGAAGCTGTGATGGAGGATAACTAGTACAAATGTTCCACCACGAGACGTCACCAACAGCTTCAAAATGATCCTGTGCTCCAACAGGAGAACCAGGCAATACAATACAGTAATTCCTAAACAAGGTCACTCGGTAATTATAAGCTGCCAGTTAAATCCCTATGTAAGGTAGTGGAAGGTTTCGGTCATGTGACCAAAAGGTCCAGCTGTGGGTCATCACATGACTTAAAACCTGTGTCAGGATACACTTGTCCTGTTTCCTGACAAACTGTATCTAACTGCAGGCCAGTGTGTGAGCCACTGGGCCAGCTGGCTACAATAACATTTATCCAGCTAGGTATATTTATGCATTATAGGAAGGGTAGAATGGTGGAGGAATCTCCACCAGCGTAACTGGTTACAGTGGTGGCCCATGCTAACCTCCTTATGATGTATAAATATGCCTAGTTAGAAGAATGTAATTGTAGCCAGGTGGCCCAGTGGCTTAAGCTTAATTAACTACTTTCTGGCTTAAAGTGTCTCTATCAGTGTACAGACAGCCAGGTTCATGACCCCAGTGTTAAGCTTAGCATTTTCTACTTGCAAGGCTTAATGTTTTCTCCAGATCTATATAAGCCTGAACAAAGGCAAAGAAGGAAGTATGATCATGCACAGATCTGCAGTACTGTCTTGCAAGCTTACAATGGTTAGATCAAGCTTCCAGCTTAAAGAAGTTACATGAGATGCTTCCAACAACCTCATTAAGCTGAAATGTCTAACTCATACTTCTCTCTCTCTCTCTCTCTCTCTCTCTCTCTCTCTCTCTCTCTCTCTCTCTCTCTCTCTCTCGTTTCATTCGAAGGTAAACTATAATATCTCTGTACATAAGAATGATTGTAAATAAATGGTTTATTCAGAGAACCGACAAGTTGATCAGTTAGACACATGTGCAATACTTCGGTATCTTTATTGTGGAAACGTTTGTCTACACAGTAGCTTCATCAGTCCAGCGCAGAATAGCTATAGATCAGGAGAATGGGGGTAATCAGTCCCTCAGCCTGGAGTCGATATAATCAGTCCATCAATCATGATAAGACTAATGGGACTGATTACATCAATCTCCTCATCTTCAATCACTCTCCTCCGCAATGGACTGTGGAAACCACCATGTGGCCAAAAGTCTCTCCACAATAAAGACACCCAAGGGCCACACACCTGTCTTAGCTGACCAACACAAAAACAGCAATGCGCAAGCCAAGCCACGGAGGAAACTGGTATTAAGCACCAGAAGACGTACATCTGCCCCCCCGTGGCTTGTCTTCCATGGGTAGGATCGTCTCTCTGCCACTATACTGCATAAAATAAATAAAATAAACAATACTTATGGTGTATATCTAATGTGTAAGTTTAAGTAAGTTATCCCTACCCATTTCTGAAGAGATCTTCGTACGTATTTTGATTTCCATTATATTGGTTACCGTCAGGCTCCGAGGGCCACAATCTTCGTCAGAAATAGAAGAAAAAAGTAAAACACGATTAGTTAACTTAAAAAAGTATATTTGAAATCTTTTTGAAAAAAAAACAAAATTCGATTTAACACATAAACCAGAGAATAGCTTTCTCTCCCCCCAAAATATTGTTTTACAGGTCAAGTATGTTAGATTTTTTTTTAAGTTAAAATGGTAAATTAGGGCTTTGTGGGAATGAAATTAATATATTACAAGTGATTTTTTGACGAACTGGAAAATTAAAAAAGAAAAGAACATGGCCCAAAAAAATAACAAACGAACACAAAAATAAAAGTGAAAAATCTAATTCTTCCAATAAATTGTCTTAACGTATTAAACCTTACATAATAATAATAATAAATAATAATAATAATAATAATAATAATAATAATAATAATAATTTACAGCATATATTGCATCTTTCCATAGTTAAATAAGGAAGTATATAAGATTGACGTAGTTACCGTGATGTTATAATTAAGAAAATATTAATGTTATAATTAACAATACATGGAGTGTCAAGGTGAGACTATTAAATGACACCAGACAAGAGCTCAACTTTCTTCTCTATAGAAAACGGGAAGAACTACAAACAAAAAATGGGAAATAATAAATCATTCGTAGAAAACGTGATTCGTGCAGACTACGAGCGTAGACTATGTTAAAAATGGTATGAAATACTGACAGGTTGAGTTTAGCAACATTTGTGCTTATTATGCACCTACACAGTCAGACTTCTCAGTCGCAACAGAACAACACAAATGTATAGTAACGATAGTATCGTGCTGACGCAACTGGATGTAAAAAGTTTAAGGGATGTCCTCAGCACGATGAAATTACTTAGTTGGCATGATGACCACTCAATACTTATTTTCACCAAGATAGACTCACATCACACATTTTACTACCACACCTGCGGCTGTGACAAACAGCCTAGCAGTGAAGCGACACACGCAACACATACTACCCACTGTTAGACTATACTACACTAGCATAAACACTACTACCAACACAACCACACACACACACACACAATACATCACATTCTACCGACACACTCATGTCACAACATGCTATACATTCACTGGAAGACAACAACCATTATTGGGCAAAACGTTATTACGACCAAATACCATCACTACCACACACATGCACACACGACATCACGCACACACACACACACATGCTTACAACACCGCAACACATCATGTCAGAACATACAATCACACACACAACCACACG